TAGCCGCGTGCCAGAGCGCAGGTGGGACTGTTATCGAATAGTTCGCGCGAATTTTCGTATCAGCCACATGAGTGGTGACCTCCTTCAAAGGTGAGCTTCACCAGATCGACCTAGATATCTGGTGAAGCTCACCTTCTCTCTGGTACCAATTATCGTTCACACTACCACGGTGGATTAGTCGGCAATATTACGGTCTGGTATGGTAGGATAAAAACAGTAACTTAAACCCAACAGTTCCCAAGTCCCTTGTATAAGCCAAGTTGCATTCAAACGTCACAAATACTTTGAAGGAAGATGAATGAGTGGCGCACAAAGGAAGACTGGGTTAACGCTCAATACTTCTGTCTTTCTGCCGTTATTATCTTTTCGCTGAACTTCCTCCTAATATAATTCAGTATATTATTACTGTTACATATTTTTTCCAATCTCTTTACTGATACCTTCGACCTTTTCCACATTTGGATGCTTGTGCCGCACTGAGACTGTCTTCTTTTCCAGGTCATTATGACTCTAAAGGTTTCCCATCAGCTGGCATTCTGCCATTTCTGCATTCGTTTCTTTGCTCGTTTTCCAACACATGTCATCGATCGCCAACGACCGGTGACGAAATGCAGTATATCCACAATTCTACGGCGAAAAACGAATCAATGTATGTTGTACATAAAAAACCTACGTTCTGCTACATAATGGGTCCTATTACTCATTAGACAGGCCATTTAAAGCATGGTTATGACAAAATTGCATTGACCCCTTTTAGAAATGTAATTGATTTTAGAATTGTTGATCTCTTCTACTACTCGTCTCAGCAGCTGGAATGGATCGGTGAAAACCCGTCTGAGTTTTCGCAACTACTCGATGCTTTCACTCGGGTTATTAAAATCCTTGCCCGGATAAACAGCACGGCAGTCGAACTACCTCGACTTAATCAGGTAATCGCGCTTCGTTAAGCAATTCTTAGGTGAAAAGGCACCATCTTAGAAAGATGTGGTCAGTCCGAGAAATTGGACCTCTTCACTGCTCGTTGGTTTCCGCATTGATGCAACTCTAACTGGTGTTGCTCTCTCAAGGCAACGTTCTCTCTGCTGAATTGCTAGAGTCACACGGCGAGCAGTGGGCGTGCCGCGGCGTGAACGGTGCTCTGCTAGACTCCTGGGGGCATACCCATCGCTGCGGGTGCACGTCAACCGGCACTCTTTCGGGGTTCGACTGCCTTTCGTCTTGGCTTATTTCTTTTTCTCCGAAATCCGACCTTACCGCAGACTCTCAAGAGTCAGACAGCAAGGCGATAGTGGCGCGGGTACGGCCATGTAGAGCCTCGGGTAGTGAGATCCAATATCTTATTTATTCCTATAGAGCACTTTTGGGTTCTCGACACTTGGATAAAATAATATGTGAATGACTCATTTAAAGCGTACTTTTGATAAGGACCGGTGGATGTCCTACATTCCACACTACCTGCCCACATCCCATCCACTTTTCTGCGCCAGGTCGTCCACCCTGGAGCTCCTTCTCTTTGGCCGAGCCAAACATGTCCATTCCCTGGTCCAAGACCGTTTCTTTGGACCACTTAAAGCCAAATTTGGGGTTTCTCCACACTACATCGGTACTTATCGAAAGTGTACTTTGAATGAGTCGATTACGTATCATTAGCGCTCTAGTTCTTGTCTCAAGTATTGGAGAACCTGTTGGGGTGGCTCCTGAACTGAGTTTTTATCCCTGAACATTTCCTTCGTGGCGAATCGCGTGTCGGTGTGCATTCTTGGTTACCTGCCCCTCTCACCACTAGTCCTCTACTAAGTTTCTCTTTCTTGATCTTCTACCTCATCCTTAAATTCCCTTTTGGAGGCACAATCCAGGCTGAGGTCGTGTGAACGGTTCCCTCAGTCTGTGTAATGGAACCCCAGAGAACAATCACAGATGTGGCATCCTACATGCGGGAATCACCCGACAAGAGCTAACCATAAGGCCTTGCAAAGTGAACTGCTGCAAAAGCCGTTTTCAGGCGCCCTCTCATTTTTTGGGCTCTATCGCCTCATACTCTCCTCCCACTTAGTCTCTCGTTCCTTAGCACAGCCGAGTTAGGAAGGTGAGTGAGCCCTCAACCTAGAGCGTTTTCGACGGATTCTTTTTCTTTTTTCCGTCACAGCCGGGCCATTGTGCACCACTATATTCACAGCAATTTGCAATAACCACATCAACTTAGTCTTGAGGCACGCTTTAACCTTTCTGCTCATGACATCTTCATTCCTGTTGATATCAAAAATTTCAGTTCTTTCAACCATCGGTGAATGTCGAACAGAACCTGGTGGATTTGGGCCTGACTCGAAGTGCCTCAGCCGCTTTGGCCGGTTCCACATTAACGCCGAATTTCTTTTGGGAAATGATCAATTATGTGAGTTTACTTCATAAGTTCCAAGCTTTCTCTAGGTTTTTAGTTATTTCCAGAGTATTGAATTTTTTTCAGGTTAGCGAAATCCGCGCCCAATCGACAGTTCTTCCATTTCTGGCATTTCAAACTGTCCCGATACTTTGCAACGAGATTAAATTCAACAGCAGCTTCATATTACCACCTAAGTGAGGACATCTTTCATGATTCCAAGGTTTTGCTTCGCCGCAATTGCGCGTGCAACACGGATCTTTGGTAATATTGGATGGAGCAATCGAAATTCTCGGATGTACTTCCACTCCCATTAGCAGTAGCGCACCGCTCAGTCGCCAACTTCTGTTGGTTAATTCCCAGTCTCTTGGCTTAGTTTCTGAATCATGAGGCTTCATTGCAAACCCCACCCCCTCACCGCGCACCCGCCCACTGTCATTGTACTCCATGCCTATCTTGCCTTTCCACTTTCTCCGGTCTTTGTATCGTGTCACACCCGATTTATGATGGGGCCGCATGCTATGTTCTCCCAGAGGGTTGGGGGACGAAAATCCCTTTAAATTTTCTCTGTCTTCCCAACTGGGATTGCCCTGATAAAGGGCCTACATTGTATGTATGTAGGTAAAAGTAAACATGCACTGAAAATGAAGAAACTATATCGTTCAAAACAAATAAATTTAAAGGAAACTTTGGATCACTAGCTTCGGGAAGGATAGCATGTGGCCCATGAAGTTTTGCAACAAACTCTACCTATCACCAACATTTGCTCTCCATTCCTTTCATGGATTCTATGTGATTTTTTTTTCCGTCGTCTCGGAATGTAATCACAAGGTTTGGTAGCAAATCCGTTCCATTGAAGCACGCCGCGTCCAGTATTGGCCGGCCTTCGCCTCAGGGTGAACAACGGTCGAGGAATCCTCGACCATCGCTCTCTGCTGTGCGAGAGTAGTGCCGAGAGTGAATGTACGCGCGGAGAGCACAGACGGCTCGCGCATGGCGAGAGTGAATGTCCGCGCGGAGAACGTAAAGGATCAGGCGAAAATCCTCGACGTGCCGTTGAGGAATCCTCAAGCAATATTCACCCTGCTTCGCCTAGCTGGAGTGTGTGGGTGTGGTTACGTTGTAGCCCATGTCTTACCCGTTCCAAACTTAATCTGGTCTCTTGAAGTGGTCTCTCATCCAATACCAGAATTCCGTGCGCATCATACATACCCTCCCCTTCAAAAAGCCAGAAATTGTCGGTGCAGACCATACACCACAAGTGACGACGGCCTCCAAGTAAATCTGGTTAGTAGTGGTTCATAGTGATAGCTGATTTTGGTAAATGATAGTTGTAATTAGTGACAACTGATAGAATACAACTGCAACAGGCTAATCATTTCATTGGCAGAAAACATTTGCATTTTGTGGAGGCCGTCGTCACTTGTGGTGTATGGTCTGCACCCGACACTTTCTCGCTTTTTGAAGGGGAGGGTATGTACAGTGGCGGTCAAAAGTTTGAAAACTTTTTTTTGTTTTGTAGTGCATACAGCAGGCAACGGAGTCGTTCTAAATTCACACATTACATGCAAAATGAAGTGCAGAACTCGGTTTCAACATAATTTCGCCAAATCGCAGATAGCGAATTGAGAAATACGTTTTTTTATAAGAAAGGGCGCGTCAAAAATTGGGGAACTCCTCGATTTCAAAGCAAATTCAACCTTGTAACACTCGAATCCACATAGAAGTTATGTTGAGCAACGCTAACAGCTCATGTCTGAATCATTGTTATTGATACCGAGCAATGTTTGAAACATATTTTTTTGATTTGTATCAACCCACCTTAAAGGACGAATTTACGATGGAAAAGCAACCCATTCCAAATTGAGGTAGAGATGGTGAGTAGTACCAGAAAGAAAGCGAAACCACGAAAAACGGCCCAGAACCGGAGAAATGGGACCCCTTCCTTGTCCGTTGATTTGAGCATTGATGGGACTCTCATCGCTTTGCCCTCTTCAACCCTACGCTCTCTCAGCTATCTAATCACTCGCCACCTATTGTACTACGGCGAGTGATCAGACGATCGGTGGGCGGAGATCGCCGAACTCGCCAACTTTGAGCCATGCTAGATCTCAGAGGTCAAATCTTTCGATGCCGATTGCGTGTCTGTCCGCACCCTCAAGAGATTCACCGCTCTCCCCACTAGGCGATTTCTCCCTTCTTCGACCTTCGTTCTTTCCGTGCAATCCTCCTTTAAGTCAAAGCCTACACTATATGAACTATATCAGATTGTTTGCAATTCTTTACTGGATGTGGATTGTACTATGTACAGCTCTCCTGTGAGGTGTAAAACTCAGTTAGCGTTTTGATCTGGACTTGTCTGCTTCATAATAGCTTTTTTGTTCTGGATTTAGGAAGGCGGCAATGAGGAGGTAGGCCTGCATCAGCTCATTTCCGTGATAGAAAACCCATTTTTGGTAGTTCTGACCATTGAAGGTGACTGTCGTATTCCCTAGACCATCCTTGTACTCAACATTGCCCACATTTCGCTGCTAGCCGCTAATGAGCTGAAGCCAATTGGGCCATCCGGCTCTTGAAGACCAACGATGGGTACTTGTTGGCACACCTTCAGTAATATTCGACAGGTATCAGCCGCACTTTTGGATCAAATGAAAGTACAAGTGCAGCCTTGAGCTTCATTCGATTCAAGGAAAACACGAAGATGTGCTGGAAACTTTTGATAATGCTGCTTTCGTAGAGGCTGATGACTGACAAACAATGCAATTTCGTATTCTGGCTGTATGGTTCAGAAAAACCTCTCCTATAGAGATGATGCTTCCTTTCCACACAGATTCATTTTGAAATTACATTATATCTAGTGATTAACCTGAAATTATCAGAAACATGCAAAATTTGAAGAGCAGATCACAGTAATGAGAGAAACAAAAAGTTTTCAAACTTTTGACGCGCGATTTCTTCAAAAAAAACAAATATATTTTCCATTTACGACTTTTGATTTCGGGAAACTGTAATGCACATTGTATGCTACTCCAGATTTTCTATGACATATGTGGATTTGAGGCAGTTTTCTAAGAGCGCTAAATCAAAAATAAAATAGCTTCCAAACTTTTGACCGCCAGTGGACGTACACAGCCGCTTATGTGTGGTAAGATAACCGAAGTATTACTACATGTGTAAGTAGAGGGGGCGCAGTTCAATCATCAGACGCAAAGGATGGCCTATTCCGTTTATTCGGTTTCCGCCAATGATATTCAACGATTTTTCTTCCCTTATACGTCTTACACAAGCCTATATGATGTGGCTTCTCTCAGAGCTAGTCTTTGCTTTGCCTATGTTTTGTAGCTCTTTTCTCTTCCGATCTCTTCCACCTATACTTGTGTCGAAGTGCGCCGCATCCAGATGAGATGGTTCTTGGCAGAATGGGATCCAGTTTCTGTTCTCTTGGAAAACTCAACGCTCATTATGTAATCCACTGGTAAAATTAACTC